GACCACATCAAATGGAAGTTGGCTGATGTGGTTTCACAGATTGAAACTATATCTAAGGACATAAGCAACCTAGATGTTAGCACACAGCTTAGCCAGCCACAAAAGGACCTGAAAATGATGACTGTAAAAGCCCCTCATGCCACGGGATACTCACATAAAGGTCCAGAGGAGCAGATTGATAAATTGGAAAGGAAGGTAATCGTACTGGAAGAGGAGAAAAGATGTTTAGCAAAACAGCTCAAAGATGTTACTGCCATGAACACCCGGTGGCAGATGTACGATAGCCAGAGGGAAGACTATGTCGTACAACTGAATCTGAAATTGAATGCTTTACAGAAACAAGTGGATGAGTTATGTATGCAAACAGGAAAAGAAGGTGTACATCATGTGGAGGAGTCATGCAACGAGAAGATCCAAGCGCTGGAGTACCAAGTGAAAACGAGTCAAGAAGACTTTGAACTGGAGCGTATGGACAGAGGCAGAGTACAAGGACAGTTGCAGGAATTTAAAGAAAAGTTAGAAGATGCTGAACGTGTAAACAAAAAACAAAAGGATTTGATATTCTTCTATAAAGTACAACTTCGAGAACTCAGTCGCAGCTTTGATCAACCTGATTTAAGAGCTCCTTACTTGGCCAACATTAACAGACCAAGATCCAAGTATTATTTGAGGCATTGTCCAGGTCTTGCTAATGATGTCGAAGTAGACGAAGTTAATGATTTTGATGTAGAGGATTGTTCTGGCTCTGGTACTTCCCCCAAAAATCAGAAATTTCTTGGGGGCAATATGGATGATGTTGAAGTTGATGGAGATGCCAGCAATGTTGAAGCTGGTAATGATGAAGATGTTGCCAGAGATGAGGTTGATTGTGGCGATGTTGAGCTTCTCTGCCCAAAATGCTCTAAACATTTTGCCTACTCGGAGCATGAAAAACTAATGGAACACATGGATTACTGTTAATGGGACACTTAATGCTGATTAATTTAGAACAATTCTTATAAAATTGTGTAAAC